CAAACTTTGAAGCATATACATAATTATGAAATTTCTCGCATGCCACCAGAACTCCAAGAAGTTCTTTTTCAATTTGTGCGTAGTTTTGTTGTGTTAAAGTTAAAGCCTTTGATATGTAAGCTACTGGTTGGCTTTTTGCAAAAGTACAGCTCCTATTGAATCTTTTGAACAGTCAACCGATATTAAACACTTTTCATTTATATCAAAATGTCTTAATACTGGGTTTTTTGAAATTATTTCCTTAATTTTACTAAAACATTCATCATGTTTATGTGATCACTGCCATTCTACTTTTTGTTTAATTAATTCCCTAAGGGGTGAGGTTAGGTCTGATAATGTCTAATGTTTTTATGTGTGGGTTTGACCCTCTTTATGATAATGGATATTCGAGCCTTCTATACTTTTACACAGATCATGAATTTTTTTGACAAATAACCAAAGGCAGACGTTAGAATTTTTATTAATTAAAGGCCAAAGTAGAATTTTAGTATTTATTTAACTTATTCGTCAAACTCATCTTAAATCCAAACAAAATTAGTATGTTTGAATAGTTATATTAAAATAATTTTAGTTTCGCATTTAATTAATAAATATTCTAACGTTCGCCTCTGGTTGATTGTCATAAAAGTTTACGTTGATGTAAAAATAATTAGAGAATCAAAAAACGTCAACTTTTTGACAAGTAACAAGGGGCGAAGGTTTTAATATTTATTAAGTAAATGCGAAACTACAATTCTAGTATTTATTTAATGTATTCATCAAAATGAGCTTAAACTCCAATAAAATTAGTATGGTTGAATAGGATAATTTCAATACTTTTCAAAGGAGGTATCACTTGCCATAAGGTCCTATTTAAAATTATCTGTCACAGTATCGCTGTAACGACATCTGTCACTATTACGTCACTTGTTATTACTAGTTAAGAAGCCTAATTCTGTTTATTACCTCCCTCCAAATTTCACTATTGTAATTAGTATAAACGTTCGAGATATGAATGGGGGAGCAGACTTTTGAGTAGCATTGTATAATATCAAAAATACTTGAATTTGTAGTCCAATTCAAAGAGAGCAAAATATGCATCACATATCAACGCGATATACAAATTTTTCGATCTTGTATGTAATTACTCTTTTATATTTTTAAATGACAGTTTATTTGAGTTCATTTTAACAATTATACATGGATTTAATATATTTTTAACATTAAACTTACATTCTTTTTTAAATGGTGTTTTATATATTCGATGGTGTATGATTTTAGGGGTGTGCGTGAGTTTTGCCATGCTGTTAGAATATAAATAAAATTATCTCGTAAAAAATTCTGACGCCGTATTCTCCCGTCGGAGAGTAAACTGAGAACAAATAGATCGATAATATGAATAACGTTTATTTTCCGCGATACGGCCTGCGTTTTATTAAAAGCCAATTAAGATATGCACCAAAAGGTTTAATAAATATCACATGATATCGATTCTAAAAATATTGATAAAGGTGTGCAGTTTGAATGTCAGATAATTCACGAATATGAAACATTAAAAATGAACTGACTTTGGTCAACTAACTAAACAACTATATAAATGAAGACACAAGTGCATAAAGGATCCATGTAACATTTTTTTAAAAATCAGTTATTATGTTCAGTAGATCTGTTTTAACCTCTAAATTTGCTTCATAGGATTTATTTGGCTTAACAACGTTTAGCAACGATTTAATTAGGGGATAAAGGATCTATGTACCAAGCAATATTTTATTACAAAAGTGCATAAAAGATCCATGTGCTCAATACTGTACATCGATCTTTTATGCCTGACCAAACGGATTGTTGTTTTCATGTCATGTTACATAGATTCCTAAAGTTAGGTTATGTTGTTCTTTATACCTAAAATCGTACTGTGTACTTTTATAGTGAAAATAGTGAAATAAGTTGTGAACATGTCAGCAAGAAGTAGACTTTTACTTAATCTGGGACAAAAACAGTATGAAGGTATGTTGAATTGATAATCAATCTTGTTTTTTACTAATATGCTTCTTAATAATAATTTGAGGTTAAGAGTTTACCGGAACGGTAACAAAATACCTGCATAAAACTTGTTTTGAGCAATGTTTTTATTATTTGAACATTGTAGAACAACTTGATCAGATAAAAAGAGATTAAGCATAACTTTATTGTCGTAGATATTGCTAAAAGTTTACCTGAACAAGATAAAACTCCACCAAGAATCGAAAATATCCTGCATGAAAAGCAGATATTTTCACCAGAGTTGCAAGATACATTTAACGGTAAATATTCATTCTAAAATTGAATTAACTTTGATAATATAAAATGCAAATATCGAGCACAATTTAATTAATTTAATCTTGCCCAAGTACTTTCATCTTCAGGGGCATTTCGTCAATTGCGGCCTATCCGACAAGAATAAAATGTCATAAATATAAAATGACACATCATACTACACTACACAAGGACAAACACTTAAAAAAAAAATTAGAGACGGCCCGGATTTGCCTCATATCGGTCAAACTAAATTAAGGCAAGTTTTAAAAGAATTAAATTTCCGGTGGAAGAAATCAGACCGAAAATCACTTTCGATTGACCGGGAGGAGATAATATGTTGGAGAAGAAATTATCTAAGATCCATACGAAAATTCCGGACTGAAGGAAGGCGAATCTTCTACCAGGATGAAACGTGGGTAAACTCAGGTCATACTCTAAAAAAAATTTGGTCAGATAAAAATATATTAAGTTCCAGGCAAGTCTTTATGAAAGGTTGGCCTACTGGTATCTCCCCACCTTCTGGTACAGACAGTAGATTAATAATCTCTCACATTGACAGTGAAAAAGGATTTGTTAAGCATGGTTTGTTGGAATTTCAGTCCAAAAGCACAAAAGACTATCACAAGGAGATGACAGCTGATGTTTTCGAAGAGTATTTTGAGCAGATGATTGAACATATACCACCAAATTCAATTATAGTATGGAATGGTAAAAGCACAACTTTTCAAAATTGCCCTGCAACATAAATCTAAGTTCAAGAAATACGTAGTTGACAAGATGGCGAAAAGGCGAAACATCACAGTCCTTATACTTCCACCCTACCACTGCGAAATAAATCCAATTGAACTCATTTGGGCACAAATGAAAAGTTATGTGGCTAGAAAAAATACGTCATATAAAATACAAGCTGTACGTGAATTGTTATACGAATCTTTACAACATATTACAGAACAAAACTGGAAAGATGCAGTAAGGCATGTAATAGAAGAAGAACAAAAAATGTGGGATCTTGATATCATAATTGATGCGACCGTAGAGACACAACCGCTAATTATTAACCCTCAAGACGACTCGGATTCCGAAGTTGATCCTATTTATTTTGAATTTGAATAGTTTTCTAATTGTAATTATGTAAGGTAAGTAATAGTAGTTGTAATCATATGGTATTAAAGGGAAGAGGCGCAAAATGTCGCCTGTCAAAATGTTCGATGTGTTTTAAATGTATCTATTTTTTTTCAAATCCTGAGAAAACTAAAAAGCATTTTTGAAAAATCTAAAGGCAGAAAGAAATATTTATTAGAATAAATACAAAGTTTCTTTTGCATGCAATATTTTCAATTAAAAATTATACCATATTTTCTCTTTTATTTTCACCCCTGTTACATAACATATTAAAATAAACATTCTAGAAGTTTTCAGGGACTTTCTGCCCTCAGCAATAATGTAATCTTTCATTTTGCGTTTAAATTTTTCAAAAATATTTATTAGTTTTCTCCGGATTCGAAAATAGTGGATACATTTAAAACACATTGAAAATTTTGTCTGGCGACATTTGGCGCCTTTCCCCTTAATTAAATAAATGTATCTTTTACAAACGGCAAGAAAATTTTTATTTTTGAATAAAATAAAGAAGTTTTATTAAAACAAAAATACAATTTACATAAGTACAATTTAAAAAATATATTTATTTAATTCAAATAAATGTTTCAATCATATACTCTACGACACTGGTCGGTCATCTGTAACCAAAATACCTTCGTAATCAGATTATAAGGTTGACTGCTGTATTGTATTCCTTCAGATACAAAGTGGGTTAGTCGAAAACATCTTAAACCGTCAGTTTCAGGTTGGTTTTTACTATTATGTCGTATTACCTATCCTCTCTGTATTTCAGTTCTCTAATTAGGGTTAAACTTGTAGTGAGCTATCGACAAATTGTGAACCGATTATAGTGAGACCCCTCTATTGGGACCAACAGACTGTGGAATATCTGAATCTGAAATCCGAAATTCGCTCAAGAATAGAGCAATCAAAAGCAGCCTTTTTGAAGGTGAGGAAATTTCTGAGTAACCAAAGGCTCAATCTGCAAATCTGATATCGGATGGTAAAGTGTTATATCCACTCTATTCTTCTTTATGGTGTCGAAGCCTGGACTTTTATGTTGACTTAATGAGAAAACTGGAAGCTTTTGAGATGTGGCTTTTTAGGAGAATTTTGAAAATGTCATAGAACGATCATATTACGAACGAAATGGTGTTCCACAGAATGGGAAGAGACAGAGAACTTTTGACCACCATTGAAAGGCGAAAGACATCATATTTGGGGCAGATACTTAGAAATAATAAGTATGAGTTGTTGCAGCTGATTATGAAGGGTAAAATCGAAGTAAAAGGGGATCCTGGTAGAAAATATCCTGACTGAAAAACATTCGCGACTGGACGGGGTTAAACACACAGACGCTTTTAAGAAAAGCAGAAGATAAAGACGAATTTGCAATGGTTATAGCCAACTTTCATTGGTGGAGACAGCACTGGTAGAAGAATTTAAAAGTTAGACTCGCTACTCCCACATGCGTGGATTGTGTCTTACTCATATTCAAACAATTAAGTGTTATATTTGTTCTACATACTGAATAACGTATACGGTAGTTGAAAATTTGTCATATCGGTAAAAAACATGTGGAAAATAATCATAAATTTGTATGAAGATATCAAATATTTACTTACCTCTATACTTATTCATACAGGCACAAGTCGAAAATACCACTCCATCAGAAACTACAAACATACATCTTCCGTTTCTAGAGCACTGGCCAAAAATGCAAGGATGAGATCCAATGTCGAATATAAGGCTAGTATTACAAGTTACGTTGCTCTTTAAACATGGTCCATCACAATCGCAACCAGCACATTCTGTATCCTGTATGACATTTTCACTGCAATTTGTAGTACACTGCTGACATTCTCCGGATCCATCACAAGAGAGCTCACAATCTATAACACATTGTTCATACCGTTCTTGGCACGGTGCTGGACAATGACAAGGTATACATTCACCGCAAAATAGTTTAAATGTTGCGTACCAAACTCCACTTTCAGGGTATGGTACCAAAATAGTGGAGTTCTCCGTTGTCTTATTCAAAATTAATTGGGACTGATTTTCTATACCGTTATAACTACATTTATTTGGCCAAGTAGGAACTTCGATGGCTCCTCTTCGTATACAAGCTACTATCACATGATTTTCTGGTTCGCTTGTAAACGCTAGGTATTGTTTTTTTAAAACTCTAGGCTTAAAAGCTAAAATAAACTGTAAAGTTCCTCCCACGTCTGTACCTTCTCGAATTCTAAATTTCATAAGTGAAAAATGAGAGCTAGTCATATTGATCGGGACTGCTAGCTTTGACTCTATCTCTTGTTCCAACTCAAAAGAAAATAGGAATGTTTCAGATGTAGCTTCTCTGATCAATTCGTAATGTTTGTAAGGAACCAAATCTGTTATCTTATAATTGTGAAAAGTTTTTGAAAATGAATTATTGAAGTATGTTTCGTTTTGTAGCACATCAAAGTATGTGGAATCTTCTGGTAATTCATTAGAGATATATTTAAGTTGAAAAGTGAAATTTCCCATAGAAATATCTTCATTCTCTCCTTCAAATTTGTATTCGATATAGTGCCACGAATCAGGACTGGTAGAAAAGAATATTGTTCCGGAATTGTTCGTAGAATATACAAATTCTTGTTTATGATGAACCTCCGCCGAAGGAGGTTTATTTGCCTCTATTCTTACCAACAATCTATCAGCAGTGTCTGGGAATATTATATTGTTGATCCGTAATACAGCCTGGTCATTCAAGTTTGTAACGAAAAATTTGAAATACCTGCTTTCGTTTGGATGACCGATTAACTGGTACAAATTATCATCTACAATGATCAAAGGGTTGTCAACCTTGCTGACGAAAAGAGAAGCTTCGACATTTGAGTAACAATCAGCGCGTAGGCCTAGAAAAATACATTTGTTATTAATTGATGAAATCTTTTCGTAAAATTTATTTAAAACTTCGCAAATATTTCTGTTTTTTTTTGTCCTTATTTGTGATGACTGTGGGAACTATATTTTTGTGTTAACCCATTAGCGATGTGTGTTGATTTAAAGCAACGGCAAACATGCCTGTATTTGAGAGGAGCTTGAAGTCATAAAACAACCATAAAAGAGGTGTGACCTTTTTTTCGACGAGCAATTGGAAACAAGAATGAAAACAACAAAAACCGTGAAGTTCCGATACTAATGGGTGAATTCAATGCCAAAGTGACAGAGGAAGTGTGGAGAGTTGTGTTGGAATATATGGATTGGGAGAGCGAAATGAGCGTAGTGAAGTGAAGACTAATTCAGATGTGCCAAACAGAAGAACTGGTAATTATGAATACAATGTTTAAATTACCAAATCACCGGCTCTACAAGTGGAAATCTCCTGGAGACAACAAAGATAGAATTATAAGAAATCAGATAGATTACATATTGATAAGGAACAGGTACAAGAACTCTATTACAGTAGTGAATACTTACCCTGGAGCAGATGTAAATTCGGATCACAACCCAGTAGTAGCAAATATGAATGTAAGTTTGAGAAAACCATTAATGAAAAGATCTAGACCACAAATATACATTGATAGACTAAGAGAACCAAATACATACCAAGAAACTTGAAATAAAATAAATCAGAGTATCCAAAAAATAAAACAACAAAATAAGAACACTACAGATATTGAAACAAAATAATAACAAAGATAGTAATTACTCACCTTGTTGACTAATGGCATTATACTTAGGATCTTGATAGGCCAAAAATGCCACCACAAAATATGAACCGGGATCTGGTGATGTCATATTTATAAATTGTTCCTTTTTATTTGTTTGTATTTCAGTGCTGTACATAGCACATCTTGTTATATTCTTGAAGGTTTTTGGGAGAGGGGAACCGTCGGGATTTATAACTGGAGGAGATCCATGTTTTAAATATAAGGAAACATTCCTTGTCTTGCATGCTAAAATAAAATTATTGTTAAATGTGTTAATATCAATTTAACTCCATCATTACAGCATCCAACAGGCTCTGATTGTAGTTATAGAATGGACTTAACATCAGTCATCTGGACTCCCAAATCATGAAATTTACTAAAAGGTGTAATTTAGAGGGATTGAGTCCTCTAACCCTAAACGGTACTTGTTTAAATCTGGTGAGTGAAGTAAAGTATCTTGGGGTAATATTAGACTCAAGGATTACTTGGAATCAGCAGATAGAATCTGTGAATCACAGGGGCTATGGGGTACACCAACAGCAGCTATGAAGGCATTACTGGTTCTCCCTCTTTTACATAAAACTATAAGAGGGAAGGCGAGGATGGGATATTATAGACTGCAGAGAAAACATGAGCAATGTACCGGTTAGATCAGGACATAACAACATAACAGGGATGCCCAGGAGAGGAATGAGAGAGAGGAAACTCAACTTAGGCTGCGGAGTTATACCTAGTATATAGACGGGTCTAAATCTGCATAAGGGTCAGGTGTAGCAATATTACCAGGCACCAGGTAGTGGTGGAAATTTCAACATTGCAACAGGCAGAGACTTTTACAATATTGCAGTGTGCAAGAGAAATTAATTTAAGGGGTTTTGAACTGAAGCATATCAATATCATTGATACCTGCATACAGGGGCCTCTGCATACAATGGGACTGTTTCATGGAGACTTGTGCTGCAAACTCTGTAGTAGAGAACCTGAAACAATGAACCATATCTTTTATGGCTGTGAGGCACCAGATCGCAGGCTGCAAACACTTTTTTAAGACAATGAAGTGACTCCAATATATATGGTACCTATATACTAGACCTGTATAAGATAGTACATGGTTCCAGAATCTTGGAATGGGTATCATAAAGGAATGGAAAATGTACAATAAGCCAATTGACTGCAGTATGATTGGTTCATAACAGTCAGATGGCTTCCAGAAAATAAAGGAATGAAGAGGTTATATAACTGTTCTGTAAGAGGATAGATTTAAAATTGAAATCTTAAGTGAAATTTATTTGCCATAATCAGACCTATAAAAACAGCATTGTTATATTTATTAATATAAATATCAAATTCCCACATTATTATCACATTTTACCATTATTATAATGTTATACCTTATCTAGAGAAAGGTCATTTGATACATAAACAAAAGACGCCTAATATTTGGTATTTTTATTTTTAATGAATTTTTATTTCATCTAACAAATAAAGCAACTTTCAGTTAAAATATGTAACATATTTATGGAATTGCTTGAATGATATTTACAACAAAAAAAAAAGAAGAACATTTAATATGGAAGGGATGATTCAGCATAAATGTATTTAGCTTTTATCCCTTCTGTATTTTGCCCTTATGTTACATAATTCTTACAAAAGAAACTTAGGATAGAAAGTGTCCCTATCTGATCCCCTATTTGTAACTCCTTAATTATAAGTTAAGCTGATTTGAATGCTGAGTTAAAAGTATACCTATTGGTCAATTTCATATTTAAATCTGTAATGTGGTTTTTTTAATATTCCTATATTTAATATTGTGGGAAGCTGTACAAGGTACTCATTTATCTTGGCTGAATGTATCAATAAATCTAAAGCTATTAAAAATAGGCCAACAGATCTCATTAGGTATATAACTAAGGGATAACACAATGTTTACATGTGGTTTAAATAAAATACAGGGATGCAACAGATAAATAATATATACATACATTATATTTTAATAAATTTAAAATACTTACGAAAAATTGACATCCTAGTTTCCTCAGCCAAAAACTTAAATGATGCAAATAAGGTATCTTGAGGAATTTTTAAATGAATCATAATTATATCTTTATATGATTTGTACTGTTCCAAGTAGGATGTAACAGTTCTTGATGTAATGGTAACATTGCTACAATGTGCAGTGTTACACATTAAAACTCCAAAAATACACCACACAAGATATTTATCCATCTTCCTTATACTGAAAAATATTTTATCTCATTACTACATAGTGGGATATCAATTACTGCAAATTTTTTGATAGTTTCATTTATGATAGGATTTTATCTATAGAATATAAATTGTGTGGGATTAATTTTCTATATGCTTAATGTAAAGCAGGTGAAGGTTTAGTTTATGGTCAAGTAATTATAATGACAAAAAAACTTTACTATCATGGCAGATTGAGATGGTGACAAATAAATTAATAGTGCTGAAATTGAGATATAAAAAAGATATTATCTGTATAGAATGGAAGAAAATAATATTCAAGATTATCAGATCTAAACAAAAAGTTATTTAAATCTGATAATCAGTTAAATAGGAGCAAAAACTACTGATTTTGAAATGTTCAAAATATTTATTTACAGTAATACCAAAGAATATAGAGGCATATTATGCGTTAAAATAAATTAAAATACACATGTAGGAGGAATATGATGAATGAAATGTGGAAGATATATCAGTAATTAGCACAGAAGGCTATCAAAGCTAAATTGCTACGATTACTTAAAGCAAATTACCGACATCCTAATTTCTCAATTGAAAAATAACAACACAATTTCGTACCTTTACAAACATTACTTTAGAACTAAATTTTAAGAAACTTATTTAAAAATGTACAACACGTCAATCCATGTTCATCTTAATAATATTCAATACTGGGAACGCTCATTATTGAGCAAAAAACCCACTTAGTAGATTTGTAGTAACTGATCTTGGATTACCCAGTAGAAAGATTTGCCATTGGTTCTTCAGCTGTTTCAAATGTCAAATTGAAATAGGGTCATTGAAATTCATTCGGACGGAACGACGTTTGTAAGTAATATTTGTTATCACAGAGAAATCCAAAGGAAATGCACGTTTTTATTTGTGCACCCTTCCGTTTAGCGGCACTGCTAGTCTCTTTTCTGCTCCTAGAAACCATATGACTGTACTTTGCATCAAAAAATATACGCTTAGCTAAGCTTTGGTCATAGTATCATGGTAAAGAGATAAATACGATAAGAGACACTTCCCAATGGAAATACGATCAGTACTTGGGATAGGAAGACCACGAAAACGATGGAACGACAACTTACTAGAGGCACATTGAAAACAGACCGAGTCATGTCTACATAAAAAGAAGAAGAAGAAAAAGAAGAAGCATCGAATTAGTTGCGCACCCTGGCACTAGGCGATGCGCAAATCGTTGCTTGACTTTTTAACACATGACTGGCACTGCTAAGTGTAAGTGTGCTGAGCTTGTTATTGTTAAGTACAATGCATTTTATTGTTGCGCCAGAGAACTACGAACGTACGTACGAACGCAGTTCGTAGTTCAGTGCAGCTTATGTTCGTAGTTCTCTGGTTGCGCTGCATGCACTCGATGCACTGGACAAATATAACTTTTCTATGCAGGCAAGATTATTATTGAGAGTGAATGTCTAAGGACATTTATTCATTTGGATTTATAAAAAGAGTTTAAATGCCATAGTAAGAACCAGTTGTCAAGCAACTCGATGATATACATCGATGTCAAATAACGCCTACAATAACTGCGTTCTGAATTATTTTTTTTTATTTAAAAAAGGATTTGTAATAATTAGGATAGTGAAAAGTTTTATTATTACTTAAAGTATAATCAAGTTCTTCTTTTGCATTGGCGCACCTTGCAGAAAAACTGATTCTTGTCCCATGTCAGTAAATAGCAGGGGATTTGTCGTGTTATCAAAGAGGGGTTACAAATAATAATCGTTACTTCACAACATCAGTTTATTCTCAACCCTCAAACATACATCCTTGCCCGAGCTTCGGCTACGTTCACCTGACATCCCTGTCATCTGTGTTGCCTAACTCCGGCGCCTATATCTTAATCTAAGCTAACAACACATCTCCTTTTTTTTTATAAAAGATCCCTGTGTCATTAATGATCTTATACCTAAACTAACTTAAACTACTACAAACATAATCTGTTAAATGAACCGGTTTCTTCACAAGTCTTTTTGGCCTGCTAGGCTTTACGCACTCAAAGTCCGATACACTATCGCTTTTATCCTGACCCGATGGAGGTAAAACATGATTTCCACTTTGTTCGATTTTGTCCTGAAATACACTGGGTTCCCCCCTACTACTTTCCTCCATTATTTTACCCTGTATGTCACCATTGCTTTGATTAGAGCAAGGCATTAGCTTTGTGTTACTAGAAATTGGCGGAACATAATCATTTGAGGATTCTGGTTGGGTGCTCAATACAGGGAAACAGTAGGGTGCATGAATCAAATGCCATCTATTTCTTCTAAATTTCCCGGTTTCAGTTTCAATTATATAGGACCTGGGTTCCTGACAGATCGCAACAACTCGCCCATATTTCCTGATATCAACCACCCACACAGAATCACCAACCTTAAGAGGATCTAAATCCTTGGCATTGTGTCGCTTATTGTAGTTTTTCACTTGTTTATCCTTTATTTCATTCTTTTTATTTTTAGTGTTTGGTTCTTTTGAAAAGTTTAATAAGCTTGGAAGCTGGGGTAAGTTAGATCTTAATTTTCTATTCATTAATAATTCAGAAGGTGAAACACCACATTCTAGGGGTGTACATCTATATGCTAACAATGCCAAACTTAGGTCCTCTTTTTTATTTTTCTGAATTAATCTTTTTGCAATTTGTACAGTGCGTTCCACTCCACCGTTGCTCTGAGGCCAGTGCGGACTGCTCGTCGTATGAACAAAATTATATTCTTTTGAAAACTTTATAAATTTTGATGAAAATTGAGTACCACAGTCGGATCTAACTTCCTCTGGGATACCATAACGAGAGAAAATATCTTTAAGCTTAGGAATAATGGCATCTTCTGTCATATTGGTTAAAGTAAAAATTTCAAACCAATGTGAAAAGTAGTCAGTGGCAATCAAATACCACTTATCATAACATTTAAACAAATCAACCCCCAGTTTTTGCCACGGCCTTTGTACAGTATTGTCTTTATGAAATGTTTCTCTATGATTTACTCTGTGTTCAACACATTGGGGACAATGTGTGACAAGGTTATTAATCTGGGATGACAAACCCAGCCACCAAACGCTCTGTTTGGCACGATCTCGACATTTTACAATTCCCATATGGCCTGTATGAATAAATTCCAACACCTTGAGTTGAAGACTCTTAGGAATGATTATGCGAGACCCTTTTAAAAGTAATTGTTCCGAATAGGAAATTTCATATCTATATTGATAGTATGGCAACAATTCAAATGGCAATTTAGATCTTTCAGGCCAAGAAGACAAAGAATATTCTTTTAGTTTTTTACAAATATATTCATTTTCTTGTTCTGTTTTTATTAAATTCAAAAAATAATCTTTAATTGGTAAATTATGAATAATTGACTGCACATATGCTGCAGTTTCAGCAGTTAGTTCTTTATTAGCTAACGTATCTGTTTGTAAAGGGGCCCGACTTAAAGTATCTGCTACAATTAAATTTTTTCCCGGCGTGTAGATTACAGTATACTTGTATCGCATTAAACGCATTCGAAATCTTTGCAAACGTGGCGTTAACTCATCTAAATTTTTAGTTTGCAGAATTTGTAGTAAAGGTTTATGGTCTGTTTCAAAAATTAGGTTAGGAACTACTGAAATAAAATCATAAAAATATTCTGCTGCCCATGTAAGTGCAAGAGCTTCTTTCTCAATCTGAGCGTATCGTGTTTCAGCTGAGTTCAGAAGCCTAGATGTAAAAGCCACTATTTCCCGAGTATGATCTACATTTTCTTGAAATAGACATGCACCTATACCAAAACAACTTGAGTCTGCACTAACAATTATGGTTTTATTAGCATCAAAAAACGCTAGATTTGGAGGGCTCTCTAACTTTTGTTTTAAAGTGCTGAAAGCTTTATCTTGTGCTGGACCCCACAAAAAGTTAATATTTTTTTTTAGTAAGTGTGTTAATGGTTCAAGAATCTCAGATTTATTATGAATGTATTTTGCAGCAAAATTAATCATACCCAGCCATCTTGACAGCTCAGTCTTATTTTTTGGTTCAGGAAAATCACGGATAGCTTTAACCCTATCTGGATCAATTAATATCCCTTGCTCAGAGACCATATGACCCAAGTATTTAGCTGTTTTTGTTGCTATAGAGCATTTGTTTTTATTTAGTGTAATACCTTCCTTATGAAGTTTTGTTAGGACTGTGTTCAAAATATTGTCATGTTCCTCTATTGTCCTTGCATGAATAAGAATGTCATCTATATGGACAACACAGCCTTCAATGCCAGTTAAGATTTTTGAAAATCTCATAGTAAAATACTCTGGGGCACAAGATATACCAAATGGAAGCCTTTTAAAGAAAAATCTGCCAAAAGGTGTTATAAAAGTTGTTAACAACTGACTTTCCTTATTCAATTTTATTTGGTAAAACCCACTTGTGGTATCCAATTTTGAGAAGAATTTAGACCCTTTCAACTGTGCTAGTGTATGAGATATTTTCCCGAGAGGAAAATGTGACCGTAACACGTTTTCATTAAGTTTAGTATAGTCACCACAAAGCCGTACACAATCTCCCTTGTCCACACAAACAATTGGGCTGACCCAAGAAGTAGGATCTTCAATGGGTTCAATTATCCCTAATTTTAGCAATCTATCAATTTCAATTCTTAATTTTGGTAACAGAGGCAAAGGAACAGTTCTGGGAACGCTCTGTACATAAGGTTTAGCATCTGGCTTAATTCTAATTGACATTTCCATTTTAAATTCACCTATATCACTAAAAATACCAGGAAATGTTTTAGCAACAGACTCTAAATTAAATTTTGAAAACATATTAGTACTCTCAGATTGATTACAATGAACAACACTGCAACTGATTTGATTTACCTGTTTAAGCTTACAATTAGAAAAATTTAGAACATTAAACTTAATGATTGATTCTCTGCTTAATATAGGTTGTCTCAACTTCCTAATACAATATATTGTTTCATCATTTGTAAAACCGTCATAAGTAAATTTTATATGTAGCTTACCCACTGTGTCCAATTTATGATCGTCCGCTGCACCAATTGCATCACATGCCACAATTTTACCCACATATTCTGGAGGTAATTTTTCATAGGGAAAGCAGTTAACATCTGCTCCTGTATCCACAAAAAAAGGTACCTTAAATTTGTCATCCAATAAGATGTCTACATACCAACGATCCTTCTTGTCTAGGTACACTTGGCCAATAAAGGAATCTGTATGTACCACTTGATTTACTGAATCCCTTCCTTCGTCATCTGTACTACTGCTACTGGTGGACCTTGAACACTTAACAGCTCTGACAGCTTTCTTCCTGCACATCACACTCCAATGACCTCTACGTGAACAAGATCTGCATTCAGAGAACTTGGCTGGACATTTCTCCCTATTTTTACATGTAGGTATGCCACAGTATCCACATCTGTAACCTTCCTTAACTTTCTCATGAGTTGTTTCTTGTTTAGCAAAACTCTTACCTTGATGTCTTTTATCACTACGCTCCCTGTAGTCCTGTTTAACTGCACTAACTGACTGCTCCTGTCTCATAATTCTATTTTGACTATCTTGAAGTTCAGCTTGGCGTGCTATTTGTATTGCCTTCTCTAGTGTCAAACCATCATTTAGTTGCATTCTTTCGCTCACCTTTTTATCAGCTATTCCGATAACTATCCTGTCACGAATTAACTCATCTTTAAGAGCTCCATAGCTACAGTGCTCTGCAAGAGTATGTAGACTTGAAATAAAGTTTCCCACAGGTTCT